GGGTGATTTCTCGCTTTCTGTCTCTCTGTCTCTCTCTTTCTGGAGAGCACACGTGCCCTATACAAAAACCTCTCAAAAAAATGAACGAACAAACAAAAACAAAAATACCAAATCCTAAGCTAAACTTATTCCTTTCCTGGATGCAGCATTATGGCTTGCTAAATAGGTTGCATTCACCTGTCCTTATTTTATTTTTCTTTTTTCATAGCAAAATAATTTATCTTCTTTCTTTTTTCCTAGCAGATCGTTGAATAGATGGCCGGGAGTCAGTGTGAGTCTCGAGAACTAGAGGTACTAAAAATCAGAAGCAGATCATGTCCTCAGTCTGTTGTGTTTGCATTAAGCTGTAACTATAGTTCGTGTAAAGCTGTAATAGCAGGGAAGAGGACCGCACGATTACAAAGCTGTAATAGCAGGGAAGAGGACCGCACGTTAATGGAACTCTGGGTGATTTTACTGTAAAGATACGTTCCAAGTAGCATAAACCAATCATGTGACTTACTGAGTCTATTTCTTTGGAAGAAAATCTATCTTGTCATTTAAGGAAAATTTCCTTCTCCCAAAGTCCTGTCCTCCCAGCCACCTTCCACCTGGAGTTCAACCTGTGCTTTCGCTGCCATGTCTGCTTCTCGTCCAGCCAGACTCTGCTCTCCAGACGCTGTTCCCTGGAAGGCCACCAAGCATGCCTGACGCTAAACTCCGCGGCCTTTATTCCTCAGTTCCTGGCCTCACTGCTGTCTCAGCACTTCTCATCATTACGTCCGTTCATGGTTTTATCCACACCAGCTGCCGCAGCAATCGCCATTTTTGTAAAACTATTCCAAACCTATCTGGTAAAGGCCCGATCCAAACTCCAAGTTCGCATTCGCAGGAGCGTGCTGGGCTCAGTCTTAGCTCATTCAGTGTCTTCTCATCTGTTTTTCACAAATCAAACTTCTCTCAACTTCTCTATTCCAACTAAAGGCATCACCTCAAAAATAGTTCTGACTCTTTTCTCTCCTCAAATAAAGAAATCTTAGAAAACCTGCCACCTCCTCTCTCTTTTTTTACTGCCAGGTCCACTTCTGATTCAGCTAACTATTAATTCTAACCCGATTTACCAGAAAACCCTCTGCGTGATCTTCCCACTTTTAATCACTCTGACTTATCCTCCAGCTTTAACAAACTGCCATGCTGTAGCCTCTTGGTGGCTAACTACCGCTGGACGTAGGTGTATGGGATGACCCAGTGATTCCACTTCCAGGTGTAGATCCACCAGAAACACACATGTACGTACGTGTATTAAACAGATGTGCTAGGATGTTATAGTGGCACTGCTAGGGTCTGAGCACGCCCGCCCGATTCGTATGTTGGAAACTCAGTCCCCAAGGCAGCAGTGCTGGGAGGGAGACCTGACAAGAGGTGATCAGTACACAGGGCAGAGCCCTCATGAATGGATTAATGTTATTAAAAAAAAAAAAAGTGAGTTAGTTATCACAAGAGCAGGTTACAAGAGTGGGTGTGTTCAGCTTGTGAAAACTCATTGAGTTATAATACATTTAAATTGTTAATGTAGGGACCAGCAGATGGTGTAGTGGTTAGGTCGCTGGTATCCCACATGGCCAACCATGGTCTGAGTCCCAGACCTGATGGCTTTAAAAATCATGCTGGATGTGTGTGCATGTGTGCCCAAGTTCCTGGGAGAAGAATGGAGAAGGGATTGTGGTGTGGCTATACCCTGGGAGGTGATTTCTCACTTTCCTTTTCACTGTGTCTGTCTAGCTCTATCTCTGGTGAGTGCACACACCCTAGGGCAAAAACCACACCACCTGCTGGCTCTAAGAACCCCCTCCCTTTTTTTGAGAGGTTTTTGCTATAGGGATGTGCACTCACCAGAAAGACAGAGACAGAAAGTGAGAAATCACCCCCCCCAGGGGTATGGCCATGCCACAATCCCTTCTCCTCCGTTCTCTTCTTGGGATCTTGGGCACGCACACACACGTGCATGGAGTGAGTTTAAGCCACCGGGTCCAGGACTCAAACCGTGCCCAGGATTCCAAGAGGAGGGGCCAGGAAGTGGCGTGGTGGTTAAAGGTACTGGACTCCCATATGGTTGCCCATGGTTTGAGTCCTAGACTTGGCAGCTTGCAGCTCTATCTCTGGTGAGTGCACACACCCTAGGGCAAAAACCACACCACCTGCTGGCTCTAAGAACCCCCTCCCTTTTTTTGAGAGGTTTTTGCTATAGGGATGTGCACTCACCAGAAAGACAGAGACAGAAAGTGAGAAATCACCCCCCCCAGGGGTATGGCCATGCCACAATCCCTTCTCCTCCGTTCTCTTCTTGGGATCTTGGGCACGCACACACACGTGCATGGAGTGAGTTTAAGCCACCGGGTCCAGGACTCAAACCGTGCCCAGGATTCCAAGAGGAGGGGCCAGGAAGTGGCGTGGTGGTTAAAGGTACTGGACTCCCATATGGTTGCCCATGGTTTGAGTCCTAGACTTGGCAGCTTGCTTTCTCACTTTCTCTTTTGAAAAGTAATGATAAATAATAAATCTTTAAAAAAAAAAAAAAGATCCCAAGAGGAGAATGGAGGAGAAGGGATTGTGGCATGGCCATACCCCTGGGGGGGGTGATTTCTCACTTTCTGTCTCTGTCTTTCTGGCGAAGGCATGCACCCTATAGTAAACAGCTCTCTAGAAAAAAGAATAATAATTTTTTAAAAGGTCTCTTTCCATTGTTCTACTATTTCCACTCGGTGTTAGAGCAGCCCAGCAGGAACATGGGCAGCTCAGAGGCTCACCCTGTACTTCAGAGGCAAAGGAGCTCTGGCGGCCGTTACCTCACCCTAACATGACCACCCAGTGAATGGCATGAACTAAGGGGAAGCTCACGGCAACCTCTCTGTGACACAGTTCTCATATGCACCTCAAGGGCCTGAGTGTGCTGAATGCAGAGAACAAACCAGTGCTCAAAGGTGACAGCTCAAAGATGGGAAACACTAGGACTAGCAGTTACCGTAATGGCTGTGTCGCTGGACTCCCACGTAGTCGACTGCGGTTCGAGTCCCGGACCCAGTGGCTTAAACTCATGCCGGGCACATGTGCATGTGTGCCCAAGATCCTGAGAGGAGAATGGAGGAGAAGGGATTGCGGCGTGGCCATCCCCCCTGGGGGGTGATTTCTCGCTTTCTGTCTCTCTGTCTCTATCTGTCTGGCGAGCGCACGTGCCCTATGGCAAAAACCTCTCAAAAAAAAAAAAAAAAAAAGGGAAACACTTCACCTGCTTCATAACAGAACGAAAGGACAGAGGTTGAGAAACATTATGCTTATGTAAGGTTCTCTGGTGTTCTTAAACATGTTTATTTTTAAATATTCAATGTGTTTAATATTTTAAAACAAAGCATCCATTACTTAATGGCTAAACTTTATTAATCTTATGAAACTCTCTTTTCTCTGATAATATATTTAGTATACGGTTTTTATAGAATGTAGAAAAGATTTTTCAGGTGTTATGAATTGCAATAAAAAAATATAAAGACCTAGGGGCTGGCAGGTGGTGTGGTGGTTAAGATGCTGGACTCCCACACGGCCTATTGTGGTTTGAGTCCTGGACTTGGCAGTTTGCTTTCTCACATTTCCCCTCTCTCTGCCTCTCTCTGATCAAAGTAAAAAATAATAATAAATAATTCTTTTAAAAATATTTATAAAGACTCATATACATACAATGTTGAGATGGCTTCTCTGAACACATACAGTGCAACCACTGAGTTCTTTAAAGTGACAGTGCCATCGTTCTGTTTCAACCAGGAGAGCGTAAGAACTGATTAAGAAGGAAAATGCAGGGGCCGGCAAGTGGCATGGTGGTAAAAGGCGCTGGACTCCCACATGGCCGACCACGGTTCAAGTCTCGGACCTGGTGGCTTGCTTTCTCACTTCCTCTCTCTCTCTCTGTGTCTCTCTGATCAAACTGGAAAGTAATAATGATAATAATAATAAATAAAGCTAAATAAAATAATTTTTTAAAAAAAGGAAGGAAAATGCAGGTGCAAGAGGAATGTCCAAGTAATTAACAGCACACAGATCAGTCTGGCTAAAATATGAAAGAAACCAGCCAAGAGGACCATAAAACTTCCAGATCTCAGAGTGACATTACCTATTTAAAGGCATTAAGATAATCCAGGACACTGATAATGGTCTCTGGTATCATCACTTTTTTTTTTTTTTCCTGAAAAGCAATAATGGATGGATAATGTATCTGCATGATACCTAAAAAAGAACACCTAGGAAAATTCATATAGGATATTATCCACTAGGTTTTAGACTCATTATAATTGTGATGATATGGAATTTTGGGGAGATAAAGCACTGCATTAGATTTCTGAGCTCCTGTGCTTTAACATACAAAGCCATAGCCACTTCCTTTTCGAGGCAGATTCTCACTGTGTGCGCACCCTGGGCTCAGACTGGGACTCGTCCTGCCTCAGCCCTCTGGAGTCGCTGGGATTACAGGCTGCCAAGACCATGGTTTGTTAAAAGTCTGCCCCTGGGAAACTGAGAACATGACACAGACTCACCACGGTATCCAGCTGAATCCAGTGAACCTCATTGCTAGAGCTGATTCGGGACTGTTGGGTCTGAAGAGTGTATGGGAAGGAGCTAACCTGGAGCACCAGGAGGTTGAAAGCTTCCAGAACTTCTCTGCAATTAATGACTCTGTCAGCCAATCCATGACTGGGTTCACCATGTGACAAAGAGCCCGAAATGACACTGTAGAAATATTGAAAGCCACGTGAATACCTCCTCATTTAACCGATTAGGCTCAGAAGCAGACACCACCGTGGAGATAATATTTTAGTTCTTATTTTTATGGCCCTTTTAAATTGGGAGCAGGAGTAGAAATAACCAAAATACGATTTGTGAGAGAAAAAATTCACACTTCACTTACCCTTTTCAGAAAAATTTCAGGAATATTGATTTTTCCCCCTTTTTAGTTTGTCTCTGACTGATATATCTCAAGGTGTAAACTTAGTTATCCAGGACAAGAACATCTAAATCTGAAGTTGAGGTAAAACACTTTACTTTGAAAACTCACCTGAATGAGGGATCTTCTCATCAAAACAAGATGCTTCTAACACCATGATCCCCTCCCCTCCTTGCAATGATCTGTACCCTCAGAGAGGCCCTGAAATGGCGAGTGTTAATGCTTTTCTCCTTCCTCTTTGGGCTGCTAGACCCTAAGAAGGGTTGAAGAGGGCTTCCTCCATCCCCATCCACACCCACAGCAAGACTAAGACCTCCATTTCTGAAACTTTTTTAGTTCTGTTCAATTTGGATGTACTAGATTACCATGCAGGCTCAAAATCACCTATCTTTCTTTTTCATTTTTTAAAAAAATATTTTTTAAACATTATTATCATTATTTTGACCAGAGAGAGAGAGGAGAGTGAAAAAGCAAGCCATCAGGTCCAGGACTTGAACCATAGTCAGTCATGTGGGAGCTCAGTGCCGTTAACCACCATGCCACCTGCCAGCCCCTCTCTTCATTTTCTTTTTCTTTTCTTTTGTTTTCTTCTCTATCTCTCTTTCTTTTTTTGATCAAAGAAATAATCTTTATGCTCTGGGGAATTAAATACAGAGAGATCGATACATATCTCAGAAAGATTACCCCAAACTTTCAAAGACAATGTGTATATGATCATGGAACACTGGCGATACTGAACAGATGGGAGAAAAATTTCATTTCCTTCCCTCCCTCCCTTCTTTCCTTTCTCCCAAATCCAACAAGCTATGTAGGGTTTTATTTATATCTATATATGGCTCTAGATTTTGGACTGTAGAGTATCAAATACATTCTGGCTTCTAAACTAGTGCTTCTGCAATTCTGACATCTCTACCACAGACCAGAAAACTTCCAGGTTCCTAACTCTAGTGTCTCCTGGAGAAAAGAAAATCTATAAACACGTGATGATGCCCTTTCCTTCACCGCATACGGTGAGGGCAAATCCTGATCCTTTTTCATTTTAACTATTTGCCTTTCAGTCCTTAGGAGCAAAGATAGTTCTTAGCAGATAATTACTATAATTTGACTTAGGTGCAGAACTGAGTCCTTCATCCTGTGTTTACTGTTCGGTCATTAATAAGCCTGCCTGAGAAATATGACAGTCCCTTGCTTAACATGAGCAACTGGGGAAAGTTTAAGGTCTGCTCCCTGAACATCAAGGTGGCTTCTCCACGGCTGTTAAAGGTAAGAGGGAAAAGAGAAGTAAAGAGGAGAAAAAGAAAGAAAGAAAGAAAGAAAGAAAGAAAGAAAGGAAGGAAGGAAGGAAGGAAGGAAGGAAGGAAGGAAGGGAAGAAAGAAGGAAAGAAAGAAAAGCAGGAGAGAAAGAAAATGAATCAAAGGGAAAAGGAAAAGAACTGGGAGGAAGGCAGTGAAATGGAAGCGCATTTCCCTCCTGGGACTTCATTGATCTCATCCTCCTTTATTTGCCATTCTCTCTCTGAAGCCACTGAGTTCCACAATGATCTTAAGAAAATATTTTCAATGGGAATTTCTAAATTCATCCACAGTGTAGTTAAAGTCAACATTAAGTTGGTCAGAAACCTAAGGAGCAAGGAGAGGGCAGGAATAAATGACCAGGATGAAGACACCCAACGTTAGGGTCCCTGGGCTTTGAAATGATCACCTTGAAAATATATTTATGTATTTTTCATTGCCAGAGGGCATGTACTCGCCTGAGAGAGAAAGACAGAGAGCGGGAAGGAGAGGGAGCATTCCCCCATGGGGCATGGTCATGCTGCAATTCCTTCACCTCCATTTCTCTCTGCTCTCAGGGTTTTGGGCAAACACACACATGTGCCTGGTATGTTTCTCAAGCCGCTGGGCCCAGGATGTGAACCATTAGGTCGGCTATGTGACATCCAGCCACCGTAACTACCATGCCATGGGCTGGTCCAAAAATATTTCATTACCTAACAATTACTGTCTGAGAAGAAGTACTGTATTTGCTCACTCTGAAGCAATCACCTCGTTAGTTCCACATGGGAGTTGTCATGAACCAGCACAAACAGTGTGTATGGGTTCTGCTTCACTCTCCTCATAAAAACTTCAAACTTGGTTTGAATCTCATTGTCTAGACGAACAACATATTTCTCTGCTCTCTGATGAGCTGTCCCATTTTCCTCCAGACCCAAGTCTACAAGGACACCTGCCAAGGAGAACAAAGAGTTAATCTTTTTGTACACTTTTATATACATACACACACAAATGAGATGAACTTAAGTTCAGTGTCAACTGTGTACAGAAATTTATAGAGTTTTTTTCACATTCCTCATCACAACTCTTTTAAAAAAATGTCTGAAGTTTATTTTATATATTCCTGTTTCCCCATAGATTATTTATTTTTATATATTTAACCACTTCAGAGCATTACAACCTATAAAGTGAATTTTTCCAGCATGAAAACACTGTATATTAATCCAGTTAAAGATATTATCATACATGTTTTCATCAACAGATAGTTTTCCATTTTTTGCGTCCCTTAAATGTTTTGCTTCTTTCCTTTTCCCCTTGATTTCCTTCCTCTCACCCTCCCCCACTTCCCACCCTCCTCTCAACTGTCTCTGGTATCTGCAATTGTTCCCCATGCTATTATATCTTCCAGTCTTTCAGTTTCTGCCACAGAGTGCAGACATTCAGTATGTACTAAGTAGGGACATAAAATGTCTCCCTTTCATAGTCGTTTGTTTTGTTTTATTTTTTATTTATTTATTTTCTGAAACACTTTTTAAAATTAATTAATGTATTTACATTCATTCCCTGAGCATCATCACAGAATACAAAATGTGATTTCCCATTCAGAATACACTGCAGAGTAGTTTAATTATACATGTCTTCGTCAATAATTTTCCATTTCTGGGACCAGCAGGTGGCGGCGCTGGACAAACCCACATGGCCAATCACAGTTCAAGTACCAGACCTGGTGGCTTGTTTTTTCACTTTCTCTCTGTCTCTCTCTAGTCAAATTGAAATAAATGAATGAATAAATAAAATTAAATAATTAAAAAACTTTCCATTTCTATTTTCATATATATACATATATAAAATAGAATAGAATCAACCCAAGAAGATCTTCTCCAATACACATTATAACCAGATTGACCAAAAGCACAAAGACAAGATACTAAGATTGGCAAGAGAGAAATGTCAAGTTACCTACAAAGGTTCAAGTCCCAGACCTGGTGGCTTGCTTTCTCACTTCCTTC